TGTTATGTACTGCATATCAGTCAGAGCATCCGTCTGCAACTACCAACGCACAAGATGCCTTCACCAGTACCGTCACATCGAAGAGCCAATACAACGCACAAGGCAATGCATTCACCTGTTTCACCTCTACAGAGTGCGACTTCACAGCACCGCGAAGCATTTATACTCGCCGGCAGGTTCTCATGGAGTGCCCTTGGAGATTCTCGCACAGCTACCTGCGCCTCGACCACCGACATTCCACTACAACGGACCCTAAAAGCCTTCGCCTCCGAGTCCAGCCCAACACGAAGAAAGCCTACTTTCGTCAACTTTTCCAGACCACTACCCCCGCAATGCCAACCGGCACTCCAAAAGAGCTAGAGTTATCTCACCTCGATCAGCAGCCCCACATCCGCGTGTATGGCCGCTACTACATCATATTTCCCTTTCCGGACATCAGTCGCGCCCATGAAGCAAAAGAGGCGCTGCACAATGGCTTCAAAGAAGTTCTGAAAAAGTTTCCATATCTTGCTGGCACTGTGGACTTAGACCCCTCTACCGACCTTCTCCGTGTGCAATACCCCGACCCTATCGATCTCGAAGCCGAAGCACGCCGTATATTCACAGTCAGTTACGATGATGCTCAGCATGACTACGATTCACTTGCAAAAGACGCCTTTCTTCCAGACGAGTTGCCCGCTACCATCTTCTGCCCAAACGAGCTGAAACACCACGCTGGACTGGGCGAAGATGCGTATGCCGAAAGGATGACAAGCTTTTCGAAAGGACCATTGCCAACCTTCGCGGCCCAGGCTACATTCATCCCCGGAGGTTTGATACTGAGCGCCTGGTGGTATCATGCCGTTGTCGATGGCACGGGCAACGGAAGGATCCAAAAGGTTTGGTCTGATGCAGTACGAGCACTCAATGCTGAGAAGAACAAACTACCGCCAGTTCGGCCGCCTGCCAGATACTATCGCGTACCAAGCTACAAGGATCAGCTCCAACCCTTGAAGGATATTGTCAAAGAATGGAACGTCATACCAGACCCGTCATCAGCGCGTCGAGCGCTCGCAACGCTGGTCCAGGAAGCCGATGCGGCAGGCCAGTCTACCAACGCACCCGAGAAGCCATTCGCTAAGCGCTTTGAGCTTCGCAAAGGGCCGGATGAAGGATCCAACAAAGTCGTCGCTGAAATGTTTCGCTTCTCATCGCAAGCTATCGAAGAGCTCCGCAACGAGCTATCCATAAAGATTGGGAAGCGTGTATCAAACTTCACCGTATTGTCAGCCATCGTCTGGGCAAATGTCATACGTGCTCGCTCGAAATCGATCACCGCTTCGGGTAACACGCAGTCGACCCTTGCCGTTGTTGTGGACCTCAGAAAGTTCCTTCCACTGCCCTTCTCATCCCAAGATTATCTCGGCAACCTGGTACTGTCTGCTACCCCCACCTTGGATTTTGATGGCGCTGCGGCCTCTCTTGAGGACATCGCAGCTAAGATCACAGATGCTCTGCACGCCATCAACGCGACATGGGCAGTCACCCAGATCAACAGCGTCCTTACTAACCCTGCCGAAGCGCAGCAATCGCTTTTGAAGTTTCCGAAAGGTCCAGACCTATACATCACTAGCTGGCAAAGGATGGGAGCTGACAGAGAGTGGTGCATCCCGGGCACGAGCAAGCCAAATGCAACTGCTATTCGGCGAGCGGCGTGGGTCAGCGAAGGTGGCATCGTGGTCTTGCCCAGAGAAGAAGACAAAGAAGGACAAGAGGGGGAGCCGTATGAGATCATGATCAGTCTTACAAAAGCCGACATGGAGCGCTTCAGGGCTGGATTAGAAGATGCTAGATGGTTGGTCGACTCGTCATATAGGCCGGGCAAGGTCGTCACCTGGCGTGACATCTTCTCTCGCCGTCTTACCGGGTTTGGCCTGGCCTACGGAGGTGCGCTCTGCCTCTTGACCGTGGTGATATGTGTGTGCACTCTCTCGCAGTCTGCGCGGATAGCTGGTACACAGGGTCCTGCTCAGGAAGAGCTCAGGTAGATAGGCTTTGTTCAGAGTGTCGGATCTTTATAGGTGGTCTGGCATCGAATAGGGAGTTACCCTCGTGACGACGAAGGAAGTGAAGAGAACAAGGCGAGGGTGTTTGTGATGTGGCCAGAGTGGCTACAAGTGTCGAATGTAACCTAAATCACCATCTCAGGGCGTCCTCAATCGGACTACTTATGCATACTGCATAAACGTCCTTTGATGTCTCCATTATTCCTGATTCGTGTTGTTTGCTCCCGGCTTCGCAGCAAACGCGAATGAGGAGGGCGACGGACTGGGTAGTGAGGCGCACCATGTTGTGTATAAGAGAGGGAGAAGAGTTGCGAAGACGAAGCTTCTATACTCTCCTTTAACTCACACAGTGTGTGCGAAAATTTTGAAATCTAGTCCTATCCTATCCTATAGTACCGCAATAACCTATTAACAACGAGCTACTTACGACTCCCGCAACACACACGAGATACACGATGACTAAATCCGCCTATTAAATATGGAAGGGATGCGAAAGAGGTCGCAGCAAACGCGATCGTGCCTCGCTTGCGCGATTACCTTCACCGCTCGGACCTGTACCTGCAGTTTCATGACTAAAAGTGACGATCCTCCGCGGCATGCTACCCGCTAGCGCCCCATCAAGCATCGACCCTGAGAAAATCCAGCTGCTACATGGCACGGCCAGCTTACACACCAGCGCCCAATTATTAGACACTATCATCACTATCGAAATACCCTACAGATTCCCATACAAAAACCATGGATCCCGAAAGAGAGAGTCTGCTCTCATACCACGAGACGCAGCGTGAAAGAACACAACAGCTGCTTTCGCACGAGATCACAGCGAGTGCGCAAGCTAATGAGGATTACCCTGTTGATCATGGCAAAGTGGCGTGGATGCAGGTTCTTGGTGGATTCATTCTGTTCGCGAACAGTTGGGGTTTACCGAATGCATTCGGCGTCTTCCAAACATACTACGTCGATACCTTGATGCCGGAGCAGGATGCGTCGCGTATTGCCTGGATCGGATCGATTCAGCTTTTCTTCACTACTATCGGTTGTTTGCCTGGCGGTGCGCTACTTGATCGGGGGTACCTCAAAAGTATCATCGCTGTTGGCACGGGCCTCGAGGTACTGGGTTTGATCCTGACTTCTTTCTTCAAGAGCTATTGGGCTATCTTTTTCGCTCAAGGAGTATGCATGGGCATTGGCAGCGGTTTGATGGCGATAGTGCCCGTCGCTGTACTAGCCATGTTCTTCGAGAAGAAACGCATGCTGGCCACTGGTCTTGCATCGACTGGTGCTAGTGTTGCTGGTATCGCTTACACTCTCTCTTTGCGCTCGCTCTTTCTCAGCGTCGGATTCGCGTGGGCTGTTCGCATCTTTGCGCTCATCATATTGGTCACCAACGCCGTCGCTTTTGTGGTGATGCGCTTGCAGCTTCAGTACGGATCCAAGGGCTCCAGCTTTGGCTTTCACCACTTCAAGGATCTGCCATACACAATCTTCGTCGTCGCGTTCACGCTGTTCGTCGCGTCCTCGTTCGTGCCGTTCTTCTTCATCCAAGAGTACGCTATCAAGCTCGGTGTGTCGAAGGACATGGCATTCAACTTGTTGTCGATCATGAACGCCGCCAATATCTTTGGGCGTTTTGTTCCAAACTTCATCGCCGACAGGTACGTTCTCATCACTCAATCTTTGCGATAGCCCAGTACTCACAACTCTAGGTACGGCGGTGTCAACACCCTACTTCCTCTCACTGTCGCCTGCATCATCACCCTCTGTATGCTACCCCTCGCTCAGGAATTGAACGGTCTCATCGCTATCAGCATCGTGTACGGCTTCCTTTCTGGCGGCGTAATAATTATTCCCGGGCCCACAATTACGAATCTCTCTCCCAACAAGGCCTCAATTGGCGTACGTCTCGGATTGGCGTATCTTGTTGCTGCTTTCGGCGGGCTGCTCGGTAACCCTGCCATGGGCGTACTCAAGGGCGAGGGGAATGGTGCGGTAGAGAACTTCAAGGGTGTGTGGTTCTGCGCGGCAGGCGTAATGGGTGTGGGTGCCGTAGCTCTTATCGCCACACGATGGCTCAAGTTGGGTAGCATGTGGGCTGCAGGCAGAGTATGAGGTTCGACGGGAAAACCTCGACTCTGAACTTCCTGAAAGGCAGGTGGTGGTAGAAGAATATCAGCTTACCGTGGCTTATCGAATCACGCCCAACCATGCACGCTGGATCGGTGTTGTCTACGCAGCCAATCACATACTGCCACCGGTTAGATCTTTAGTGATAGTTGCGCATGAGGCAGCATTCTGAAGATCTGGATCACTTGATAGCTGTCGTGTTACACAGCATCTCGAAGAGGAAATATTCCATTGTCAGCGGACACAGTATGGAACGAAGACGATATATAAGATGAGATACCGTCAGCATACTCTGGAATACTACTAGCATCCTAGTCATAGATTCAGTGCCTACCTGGAAGCGAAAATGCTACTCTTCGCCTCCACCACCTCTTTCCTCTCAATCCTCTGCACTCTCCCAATAACACGCGCCGCGTTTTACTACCCCACACCCGCACTCTCCTTCCTCGAACATATCCTCGTCGACAACTGGGGCGCCTACGCTTCCAATTTCTCTTCAGCAATCACCCCTTGCACGAATTATGTTTCGCAGACCGGTTCTACAGGGCGCAATAGTGGTCGCACCACAGCTGCCCAATGGATGCGCGTCATGTTTCACGACTTTATCACCGCCAATGTGAGTGCTGGTACGGGAGGTATCGATGCTAGTATTGGGTTCGAAACGGCGAGGGAAGAGAATAAGGGCAGTGCGTTTAACGATAGCTTTTCGTTTTGGTGTCCGTTTGTTGGCGAGGGGGTTTCTAGTGAGTGCATCGCTCTTGATGAGTGTTTGGTGATGGAAGTGGTACTGACGGAGCGGTAGTGGCCGATCTTGTTGCACTCGGCACGGTCATGTCGAATAATCTATGCGGAGGCGCGCAGATGCCGTTTCGACCTGGCCGCGTTGATGCGATTGAAGCAGGAAAGACGACGGGCGTCCCAGCACCAGAGACGGATCTAGAAGAGACGTTACTTTTCTTCGAGCGCGCGGGGTTCGACAAGGTGGATGCTATTGGGCTCACGGCTTGCGGTCACACTATGGGCAGCGTACACCACGTAGGTCTCTAGCTGCTATTCGATTGAACAGTACTCACTCATCGGTATAGGGCGGCTTCCCGGAGGCTGTAGACGAGAGCTTCGTCACGCCCAATAACACGAATGGCGGTAGTAACTTCGACGCTACACGCGGCGTCTTCGATCCAAACGTCCTCGGCGAATACTTGAACGGTACAGGGACCAAGGGAGGACCATTGGTGAACTCTTACAACGACACGATGAACTCCGATAAACGACTTTACGAGAGCGATAAAAACTCGACGATGCGCACTCTCTTCGCGCAAGGAGCCGGGTTTCTTGCTACGTGTGCCGATCTCATGGGCCGAGCCATCAACACCGTACCTATTGGTGTTCAGCTCTCCGAGCCAATTACTGTCATGCCGGTCAAGCCTGTGAATGTCACCTACGACTTCAGCGAGGACGGAAAGTTGATCCTTTCGGGCAAGATCAGATTCCTCACACCGGCAGGCAGCTCATCCCCGCGATCACTGACTCTTCGCGTGAGCGACGACGAGTCAGAACTTGAACCAGAAGCCGAGACGGGAAGCTCAGTTTCTGGTCGCAGTGGTGATGCATACGGGACAACGACGTACTTCCCGTTCTCGCTTTCTGGACCCGCCATTCAAAATGCCACGTCTTTCTCCGTCCAGGCACCCGAAGTACCGGAACAGACTTTTCGGATCGATAGCCAGGCATTCGTCGTTCCAAGCCTAACAGTTCTGAGCGGCACAGCACTCAACGCGACAATTGCCCTGTGCACCAGGTTTAGGTCGTGTGAAGACTTAACCGTTCACATTGCCGCGCCATTAACACAGCATGGAACGCTGGCGCCGAAAATTAATGGGATGGATGTGGTAGTGAGCAAGGCGATAGAGGAAAAGAGGGTATGTACACTTTGCCGGGGGCAGGTTATCCTGAAAGATGTCCCGTCTGGGCTAGTCACTGTCGAAGCCTTGTTGCACGGCAAAGTCGTAGATACACTCTTAGTCAATGGAGGGCAGGCCGGCTGGTAAGGTGAAGGGATCTGAAATCGTGTCGCCTCTTGTTGCACTCGCGCTGTTGAACTTTCGAAACTAGATGGCTTTCAATACAATGTATATTTCTACCCTAAAAGGTTTTCTTCTAGATTGCGACTCATGTGACAATGCCTACAGCGACGATGTCGACAGTGACCACGGTCGCTCACCAACGTCCCACTTCTTAGGCTCTTCACCCATATAGAACACCAACTCGCCTCCCTCCGCAATCTCGCTGTGCTTCAACCAAGCTCGATCGAGCTCCTGCCCGTTCCAGATAACCTTTTGCGGGTAATAGCTTGTGCTTGACAGGTTCTGGGCCCGGATAGTCAACGACGTCTCGACTGCCGTTCCACTAAAGAGCGAGACCTTGAGCCAAGAGAACCGGGGAGCAGAAAGAAGGTAAAGCGGCTGGGCAGACACCGGATACATGCCCATGAGATTGAACACCAACCAACTGGGTAGAGCGCCACCGTCGATGTTTCCCGGGTATCCGTTACGGTCGTCGCTATAGAAGTCGTCGACGATAGCTCGAGTCCGATTGACCGTCATCCAGTTCATGCCAGGTACGTAGTTGTAGAGGAATGGCGTTGCGAAGGACGGTTCATTTCCTGGGTTGAAGAGAGCAGAGCCGGCATCGTTGTTTGCGCCGACTGATGTGCCAAAGCCTGAAATGAAAGAGGCGTCTAGCCGACGGACGAAAGCCTCGTCGCCGCCCATCAGATCTATGACTTTGGCCATGTCGTGTGGTGCGACACTGAATGCAGTCTCCCAAACCTTGGCTTCGTAGATGTCTGCGTCCCAACCGCATGTTCCACAGCTGAGCGGGTCATACGCCGTGGTGTTCCACGTCCCATCCGCGTTTCTAGGGCCTGGGAAGCCAGTGAACGTACCCGTTCCGTTCAGGGCTGTGTTTGCCATGGGATTCCATTGGTTCTGCCACCAGCTTGCTCGTTCGCGCATCTCATCGACGTCTTCCTGGGACTTCTTAAGCCCAGCTGCCATGCTGTAGATCGCGAAGTCGTTCTGCGGGTACTCGACGCCACGAGAAACACTGCGGGTGTGATTGCGCGTGATGAAGCGAAGGGAGAGATAATCGTCCAGGGCTCCTCTACCTTCCTTGGTGGCGCCGTCGAAGGCGACCGGATCAACATTGCGCTCGGGCAACACGTTCGCATCTTTCATTACTGCTTTGTAGGCCTCTTGCCAGTCGATCCCACTGTCGAGCTCGCCTCGACCAGTTTCGCCGGCAAGTGCTTGGACGCTCTTGACGAAACCGTCCGCTAAGACCATGTCTGCGTGCGTGCCGCCCTGAACACGACCATTCCAGTTTGCTGCGCGGCCGGCTGGTAGGTAACCCTCTTCGGTGAAGATAGAAATGAGACCAGAGAGAATGCGCGAGTACGGCTTCGTGAAGACCAGGTGGTACAAGGGTAGAAGGGTACGATAAGTGTCCCACAGCGTATAGTGGTCGTCGTAATATGGCTTAGCCTCGTTTGACTCCCAATTAGGGCATTCGCCGGTCTTGTCGGTTGGCATCAGACCTGTTTGATACAGCCCAGAGTAAAGCATCCTCTTCAAAGTTTTATTGTTGCTTGTCGAATGGCCATCGTCTCCGATCTGAATCTTGCTCAAGATTTTCTCTTCCCATACTTGCCTTCCTTCGTCAACGACATCTTCAAAAGATTTCGCATCAGGAAGCTCCTTTTCCACGTGAGAGCATGCTTGTGCAGCACTAATATACGAAATGCCCAATTTGGCCTCCAGAGTAAGGGTGCCGTTGACTCGCTGCTCCTTAGGCGACCAGCTGAAAAGAGCGCCAAGGCCCATTCCGCTCCCAGCATAGGACCGGACGTCAGCATACGCGCGCGGCACAGGACGAGACTTGAAGCTTGGTGGCGAATAAGGGTTGTACTGCCAGCTAAACGTACCAGCGCCGGGAGTACTGGGAAGTTCTCCCTGAACATAGTCGGATGTTGGGGTGAGCACAGATCCTGCAGGCACACTAAAGTTTCCGCAGAAATGGATCGTATGACTTTCAGGCTGCGGCCAGCCACCCGTGTAGGTCGCTGATCCATGGTATGATGGCAATCCGTTCGAGGAAGATCCGACATGTAGCTGCCCGTGCAGGAACTTTTGAGAGTAGGCCATCGAAGAATAGGCTGGCAACACGTGTGTGAGGTCGACTAGGACATGTGCATCGTGCTCGTTGGCTGACAAGGCGCCTGCCATCGTGGAATCAACGCTGACAGTGGAAAGGTTGTTTGAAGGGACTTCTGGTTGAGGGAACGTGTATCGCATGAATCCGGTATGGTTGCCAGAAGTGATCTCGATCTTGATGCCGTTCTGTAGAGTCGTAGTGAAGAGGCCCACTGTTGCTGACTCCAATTCCAGACTGCGGTTCTGGGCATAGGTCATGTTGTCGGCAAGGTTAATAGACTCGAGATTGTCATACAGCGGCATCTGCGAGATCAATCCATCTAGATCTTGTTAATACTCGTAGGCGTCCCGTAGGCGCAAGCAGAGGACTGACAAGTTGGAGCTCCGCCAGATCCGCTGACGTGCGTCATGCTCACTGCTGTTACATTCCCCAAAGGCGTGTATCCAGCATTGGCGTCCACTGCACTGCCATTTGGAAGCCCAATGTAGCTCGTGTCGATGCCTGGCTTTGCCATCGCCCATGGTAAACTTGCGCCGGGAAAGGAATTACCGCCTGCGATGGCGGAACCAGGTTTTGGGCCTACCGTGCCCACCAACGGATCTACGAAGGACCATAACGGTTCTTGAGATCTGCCATGACTTGATGTTGACAAAACAAATGGTGCCGACTCGAAGACCGTCACCCAAAAGAGCAGTCGCAAAAGAGAGGGCTGCTGCCGGTTAGCCATTCTGCAGCGCAATCTGATCCAGCTGTGATTGTGATCGTGTGAGATGAGGAACAAAGCTTGCCATAGGAAGTTATTGTACCCCACGCATTGCGCTAAGGGCAACCGTTACTAGGTAGTCCCAAACGGCGCAATACAAGGGCGGTTTTGTCGGAAGAGCTCGTGCGCACATGATCTCGCGAATGGAGAGACTTCGGGGTCGAGTTGCGCGACCGGAGAACGCCCGTTGTCATTTTATCATCTCATGTCGGCACCTCCGACCGCGTTCAGGCTCCCCAGTTTTCGGGTTGTCATTGTTCCGTTACCTCCGAATGACGGCCCACGTGGAGAAGGGCCGAATAGCTGTCTGCCCGCGCGACGGCCTAATTGAGCCGATCTTGAGTTCCGCGCACTCTTGACGTAGCCTTCGTATGGACGCGCGACTAAGCTTGAATTTGGGTAGTGAGTTATTGGTGAGGCTTTCCAGTAAAAGAAGATCGTTGACCCACTTTTGATCAACGGAAGGACGGCTCTTTGGTAGATTGAACGCGGACATCTCGTTCTTTCCGTATAAGTTAAGGAATCTGTGTTAGCTACTCAAAAAGCAGGGCTATGAGCACATATATCAGATGCTTCGCTGGAACTTGCGCTATCATCGGACGCTGTCGAGGTATCCCCCGGATCATCCTCGTCCCCACCTTCGTCCGCGGTCTCATCTCCGCTGACCTTTACCTCGGATGCATCGGCATTCTCGGATATCTTGCGTGGGTTCCTACAGTCAGCCGTATCACATAGACAGTACTGGTCATCCTTGAACCATTTCGGACCGTAGTCTAATGTCAGCTCTTCGCCGATAGGGACTTTTCGCTTTGTGACTACATAAACGGCTCGACGCTCCATAGAACACACCATCTCTACAAATTCCGTATTCGGATTGCAAGAGTGGTTGATGAAGCGAGTCACACCTCCGGTATGAAGAGCGTCTATAGAAGCTGTGGCGTGTGTCTGAGTTTGGTCAAAGTTTGGTTTACCGATCGAGATCCCGACGCGATAAGCATCTTGTCCATGAGCTGGAGTTCCATCGTCTTTGAAAGGTATGATCTGGCCTGCATACTCTCCTACAATGGTAGAGTCGTGAATCACCTTGCGCGCAAAAACACCGTGACCGCGCGAACCGACGTCCTGTAGCAGTAAGTGAGAGAGCCAGAAGCCATGCAGATACTTGACCCATGCATTGTATCCACACATACAATGTGCGACATCTTCTGGTGCTTCGCAATTGGGGCATGGCTCGATGCAGGACTCGGTCTCATCAACGTCTCCAATAAGACCCTCAATTGTGCTGGGAGGCCAGTTACCTCGGAAGGCTGCTGGCTTAGTCTGGTCATGCCAATGTTCTGCGTTGAACGCGGTTTGCAGAGCGACCGTGCAGTAGTGTTTTCGACCGGCTGCGTGTGTAGCTACTTTACGTCTGGGAATACCGCTTTCGTCCTGAGAGTAGAAGAATAGGCTACGCTGTAGGTCGGGATTGTACAAGTCTTTCAGGAGCTTAGTGACAACGCCAGAGGTGAACGCCGTCTTTTCGTGTTGCTTGCGCTTGGCCTTTTGTTTGATTTGCCGGAAGACTTCATCTTGTGTCAAGGGTAACATCGTTGTCGCGATGAATAAAAATGGTAGCAAGGCCTCCGGTTGATCCAGAGTATGACTCCCTTCTGACCAGAACAGACATACTCGAGGTATTTACGTATTGAGGCCATATCGCGATGCATTGTGACGTTGTGAAAGGGGACATATCGATCGTGCCAGTGGAGTCGTCCGTTCTATAAAGAGAGTTGAATCGCGCGCTGTGAAATCCCGATTGCGGTCGCAGGAGCGTTTCACAGTGACCATGGTGGAAGAAAGAATAATTGCGCGACGAAATATAGTCCACTGCATGCTTGGCACGTCCGCGCTCTCGCACAAACTAGAGCGTCCAGCCGATAGCATGTGATCTGGGCATTCCGGCGTATGCATGGTGTGGACATATCCAAGGCTTGGAATTGACGCTAACGGGGAACAGCTGCGGAGAAATATCGCAGGATAGAAGCTGGTTAATATAAGTTCTCCTCCGTGTCGTGATAGGGCTAGACGAATGGTTGGTACGTAGAGCATGCTCAGATGTACGCGGCAGTGCGATCTGCAACGCCATGTACCCGGTGCTGGAAACGGGGTACAGAATAGATCGCCGTACTACTTGCTTCTGTGGAACTCCGGTCGAGGATAGCTATAAGAAGCCTCCGTGGTGCAGGGACTCCGGAACTAGGTCGATCAACCTTCATCTCAGTCGACACCATGTTCGCCCTCAACTCCATGTTGCCTGTGCTCTTCGCAGCTGTGGCATCCGCGCAGCTCACCTCAAAGCTCACGGAGATCACCGACTTCGGCCCTAACCCGCGCAATGTCTCAATGTTCATCTACGTGCCGGCCAACCTGCCGCCAAATCCCCCGATCTTGGTATCACCCCATTGGTGCCATGGTGGGATTATCCCCGTGTACGAACTGTCTGTGAGACGTTTACTGACTTCGTACACTCATCATTAGGCACGGCCCAGCAGGTCTTCGATTATCGGCCATGGGCTTCGCTTAGCGACGAATATGGGTTCATCTCGATCTATCCCAATACTTCGACGCTGAACACGGATCAATGCTGGGATGTGAGTAGCCAAGAGTCGCTCACCCATAACGGAGGAGGCGACGCGCTAGGCATTGTATCCATGGTGCGCTGGACTTTGGAAAAGTACCATGCAGACAAAGACCGCGTTTTCGTTACCGGAACGAGTTCAGGCGCGATGATGACCAACGGTAAGACCGGACGGCATAAGATGCATGTGAGACACACGCTGACTCCGTATCTCCGCAGTCCTGATTGGTAGTTATCCAGATGTATTCGCAGCAGGAAGCGCATGGGCCGGTGTACCCTTCGGCTGCTTTGCTGGCGACGGCTTCGATGTCTGGAGTGACGCATGTGCTAGAGGCCAAATCGTCAAGAACGGACCGCAATGGGCAGCTCTTGTGCGCAACGCATATCCCACGTATCGCGGCTTTCGACCGAAGTTCCAAACTCTCCATGGCACAGCAGACACCGTACTGTATCCACAAAACTTCCGAGAGCAGATCAAACAGTGGACGAGCGTGTTTGATGTGAGCCAGAAACCGACGGAGATTACGGAGGACGTTCCTTTCGAAGGATGGACGAGGTTTCGGTACGGCGACAAGTTTGAAGCCTACGAGGCAGGGAGTGTAACGCATGACATCCCGACGGATGCCGATACGGTGATGGACTTCTTCGACTTGAAGTGCAGCGGGCCGAGCTGCTTCTCGAGGCCCAGATCGGGTAACAGCACATGGTAGTTGATATAGTGTTTTGTTAGCTGCTGCTGTAGAGCTTGCGACACACACGAAGTATAGCTCTCCAATATCAACGGAGAATAGAGTGCGCCGTTAACTCAGATGGCGGCCTGGTCGTGGTTCCGGCTGGTCATTGAGATGGTTCATCGGCGTAATGCGACGAATCCCAGGTCTTGCAAAACAAACTCAGAATAAATACAGATGACTCAAGACAGTGCAAGCATAGCGCAAAGACATCGCAAAAACATTTTCGTGATGCGGATGCTGATAAAATGTGTTAGGCAGTGGAAGGACGCGTTCGGGTTCCGCGACCCCCAGCTTGGAACCTAGGAAAGCTCGGCGCGTTACCGGCGCTAGAGCACGTGACGTCATCAGCGCGCACGCGATTCCATCCTATGTACTTGACAGCTCCCAACTACCACGGAAGATTACCGCCAGGCTTTACTGTGATCACAAACTCTTTTTCATACACAAACCGCTCATTCATGACCATGATAGTACCCGAGTTCGACTAGCACCAATATCCAGCGCAGTGCGGAGAAGACGCGCTAGACACGCGGTCGCGCCCACGCATTTGCTGCTCCCATTGAAGATGCAGCCATCTTACGATGCAGCGTACGCGATCTACGCTATCCTGATTGTTCGGTCGCGGATGGCTTTGACCCGAGCTCAAAGATTCGACAGACATATTGTACCCCGCCCTGGGTTTAGCGACCCCAGATGATCACATCGGTTGCCCCAGCATGCAGTCGAAGGAGGAGCAAGCCCCTCCGCTGTATAGCCAAGAGCTGGGGAACTTCGTATCGCTCGCATGAGGATGCTGGAAATTCTGATGCGGCTGGAGATCCTCCGCAGAAAGGATTACTATAACGGGGAAGTTCCCCGCGCAGTCTTCATTACACCGACGTTGTCGATATAATGTCCAGACTGATCCCTCGTAGCTCAGGTGGGAGCATACACACCTTTCCCGTCTTTCAGCGATGCGGGTTGTGAAGATCTTTGCGGCCTTCTGTGCCTGTTCGAAATACACGGCGCATGCTTTGCTCGAGGAGAAGTTCGTGGGCTTCGAGCCTGGAGATCAAGCCTTGGATGTTGCTGGCGCTACCGTCATAGCTGACGCAGATGATTTCGTGGGTATTCACATTGCGCTAAATAGCCTGGTGAACGACTTCGAGCAGATCGCTGGAACCCGACCCGCGCTCAAGAACGCCACTACTAACTCTACGTTTTCGACTTCATCAACGGGCATCATCGTCGGCTCGGTGGGTTCGAGACTCATCCGTCATCTGTCCTCCGAGAAAGGTCTTGACATATCAGATCTTGAGGGGAAGTGGGAGGTATTCAAAACGGCTGTGATCGCTGATCCAATAGCCGGAGTGGAACGGGCGCTGGTCATTGTGGGCAGCGATAAGCGCGGTACTATTTTTGGTGTTCACACGCTTGCCGAACAAAGTGGGCAGTCTCCGTAAGTGCTTCTATCGTGCATTTCTGACCGTGAACTGATGGGTTGCGACAGATACCATTGGTGGGCGGATGTCCCGACGAAGAAACACGCCGCTATCTTCGCACTACCAAAGGTCACTGTTCATGGCCCGCCATCAGTCAAATATAGGGGGCTCTTCATCAACGACGAAGCACCAGCATTAGTAACATGGTGGGCTGCACGACACAACTCCTCCCACTATCCTCTCGACACCGAGTTCTACGCCCACGTGTTCGATTTACTACTCCGGTTGAAAGCCAACTACCTGTGGCCTGCCATGTGGGGATCGACAACACCAGCACCAGGTCATATTTTCTTTACAGATGATCCAGGAAATCAGCAGCTCGCAAACGACTACGGTATCGTAATCTCTACCAGCCATCACGAGCCGATGCAAAGAGCCACCAATGAGTGGAACGCAACTGAGACCGGGCCCTGGGATTGGAGGTTGAACAAGGACAACGTCACGCGCTTTATGGAAGAGGGCATTCGCAGAATGGGAAACAACGAAAGTTATGTGACGCTGGGTATGCGTGGCCCAAGTGATAGCGCGATAGTCGGTGACGATGCCTTGGAGATACTTCGAGAAGTGTTTGAAGTCGAGCGTCAGATCTTCAAAGAAGTTCTAGGTGATCAGAAAGTGAACCGTAAGAGTAATAATTAAGACAAGGTTTAGGCCACGCTGACAAAGTGTAGAAGCATGGACGATATATAAGGAAGTGGCGACCTATTACGCAGCCGGACTTAACCCTCCCGATGATGTCACTATCATCATGCCCGATGACAACCATGGCCAGATTTTGCGCTTACCCACTGGTAACGAGACTGCCAGGGAAGGCGGCGCTGGCGTTTACTTCCACTTTGAGTATTTTGGTAGACCGCGATCGTACAAGTGGTCAAATACCAACAGCCTGGTCAGTATGCGCAGCTTGCATGATTCATCTCTTCCTAATAGACGCAGTCGAAAGTGTTAAAAGAGCTTTTGCAAGCTTACTGGCGCGATGCGAACCAGGTTTGGGTCATCAATGTTGGTGATGTCAAGCCTTTGGAGTTACCTTTTGGATTCGCTATGGACTTGGCTTGGGACATCTCGAAGTTCGACTTCGACATGATACCGGAGTATCTGCGCCTCTACGCCGAGAGGGAGTTCGGCATGGAACGTGCAGACGATATTGCGGCTCTACTGATGGAGTTCAACTATCTCATTGGAATGCGCCGCTTTGAGATGGTTCAACCAGACACGTATTCAGTATTAAACTATCATGAAGCGGAAACGGTCCTGACAAGATGGAACACGCTTGCGCGCGGAACGAAAACACTATACGACCAGATGCCGGACGATCACAAAGCCGCATTCTACGAGCTACTGTTCTATCCCCTAGTATCGGGCGCCACATACTACGCAGTAAACGTTCGCACTGGAATGAACTACCGACATGCTATGGAGCGAAGGAACTCGGCAAACGCCCTCGCTCATCAGATTTTGGCCGACTTCGAATATGACTACGATCTAGTTGAAGGTTTCGACGCTGTCCTGAATGGGAAATGGCTGAACATCATGTCTCAGGCCAAACTCGAAACATTCGACACCACAAAGCCCAAGAACTGGATGAATCCATCCCGAGATATAGTCTCGAATCTTTCTTTCGTTCAGCTGCGTCAAAACATGCAGTTCTCCGTCGGTAATCTTGGTATCTATGCGGAGGGCTCCAATAGTCCTCTCGACCAGGGCCGATGGGCTGAGTCAATCGATCCATCGATGCCTTTCACCAAGTCTCCAGCCAAGGTACCGGAGATGAGTCCCTATGGTCCTCGTCAGCGGACTATTGATCTCTTCATGCGAGGTGACTACCGCGTTCCGCTCGACTGGCAGCTCGGTGATATCCCGGTGGATTGGCTATCGATAACACCAAGCTCTGGTGAACTCAACCAGACCGTCGACGAGCAACGCCTCAACATCACCATCGACTGGACGCGGGTGCCAGAAGGATACAACGACACTGTAGAGGTTGGTGTAACATCAACGCCATCATTTTACCCATACTACGACATCATACATGTTCCAGTGAACAATTTCAAAGTACCCGGCGATTTCCTAGGCTTCCCAGAAACTGCCGGTTACATTTCCATTGAGAGCCCGCACTACCAGCGCTCGTCGCTCCATAACGGCACTGCAAACAACACGGTATCATTTACTCATACTCCCTACCTGGGTTCGCGCACCGAATCTGGCTCGATCGCAATACGGCCGTTCCATGCTGCTCGGGCTTCTCTTGAAGACGCTACCAAGGCATTTGTCGAATATGATATTTATCTCTTCAACCATACCACTGCCCTAAACGCCACGATATACATTACTGCCTGCCTAGATACCGATCCTAATCTTCTCATGGAATTTTCGCTTTCCCTTGATGACACCCCTCAAAACTTCACGCGTGTGTTGGGTGACCCGGAGGACGCGGGCGATGTGCCACCGGAGTGGACCAGTGAAGTGATGAATCAGGTTTGGACGAGGAAGGTCAGTCTTGGTGAAGTAGCGGAAGGAAAACACACGCTTCGATGGAGTGTCAATAGTCCGGAGGTTTACTTGGAGAAGCTTGTTCTAGATACTAGGGGCGGGGTCAAAGACAGCTACCTAGGGCCGCCAGAGACGATGATGGTGGGATATACATGAGGGCACAAATATCAGGCAGCTCCTTCTAAGAAGGGCTACTGTATGGTTGCTTTGGAGCCCTCGAAACGCTCCATGCGATCAGCGCCGTTCTTCCGAAGTTTTGCACCATAGATGTAAAGCTGCATGGTCATGTCAGTAAAATGTCACATAACAAGCGAAAGCATCTGCACATACCAGTAATACCAGTGGTAACCCCAAACCCAACACCAAAAAGCCCAGCAATCCCACGCCCCAGTCAAGGCCAAGTGTATCGAATAACTTCTCTCCGAACAACGGAAACGCGCCGGCGAACATGCAGCGAAGGAAGGATATGGCCGCGACTGCAGAAGCGGGGAACTTGAAGGCGTCGATAGCGTACAGCTGCAGCGCAAGTTGGATGTTCATGCCTCCGGCCATCATAAGCATGATGGCTACCAGTGGCACCATATAGTGCGTCCTGGTGGCCGTGAACCCGTACATGAACAGCCCACCAACCAGCAACGTTCCACCAACAAGACAGCTGACGAGTCTCGACTCAGGCTTGTACTTCATTTGGCCGGATGTTGTGTCTCGCTTAAAGATGGCTTCCATAGCGCGAATAGTAGCGAATGTACCGAGGAGCATACCAATGCCGGCTGCCAGGAAGTCGGTGCCCACAATGCCAACGCTGTGTCCATATCCGCGACCAAAGACATCAGCGTAAGTAACGATGATCAGATATACGACACCAAACACCACTGAGTAGAAGAGCGAGGCTAACAACAGCGCTGGATCGAGAGCTAGATATACCAGGGGTCGGACGAACGCGTTGACGAGCGCAGTAGGGCCGTTAAAACGGGGCTGAAGATCCAGTACGGTATACAGCTCAGCGCTAGGCTTCGTTTTCCGTTCTCTTCGTAGCTTGTTTTGTAGAACCCTGGGTGCGTAGGACTCATTGAGGAGGAGAATTCCGGCGATCGAAAGCAGGGCGCTGGCAATGGCGGGTATCCAAAGAGTCCATCGCCACGAGACCCGCTCTGACATCCAGCCTCCACATACGGGGCCCAAGACGGGCCCTAGGACGCTGGTACTTGTAAGCAAGGACTCCAAAAATTGTACAATCGCAAACTTACGGTCCAAGCATTACGAGTCCAGATGCCTTCGGACGGGCAGCAAGATTCCACACGTCAGATACGAAACCACCGACTACCGCGATGGCAGCAGACCCGCCGAGTCCAGCAAAGAACCGGCAAACTGAGAACTGAACAGCAGTTTGAGAGAAGCCACCTCCAAGAGAGAAGGCAACGAAGACTAGATTGCCAAAGTGTATAATCGCTGCTCTGCCGTATCGTTCGCTGAGTGGGGCAAGAAAGAGTGGACCGATCGCCAATGCGAAGAGGAAGATGGAAACCTGCAAGGCGCCTACGGTACTGTCTGTGATACCCAGGTCGTTCATGACTAGGTGGATGGACGGTGCGAAAATGGTGCTTGCGAAGGGCGAGATGAAACAGCATCCTCCCACGATTGCGGTGGCGCGCACTTTCTTGGCGGTTGGCCAGGACTAAAACACATGTGAGCTCTGAGACTGGAGTAAAGTTACTCACACTTACGCGAGGGTGTTCTTGTGTATCTTCATCTAGTGATACGAAGTTTGGATCCAGATGCCGGAGTTCGTGACCCGTGACGAAGATCTTGTCTGGCTGAGAGGCCTGATCCGTGAGTAGCTCTTGGTAAGCTTGGGTGACAGCATGTTTCGGTGGTAATCCAGAAGTCTCGATGTCAATGGACTCGCGCATTTTTGAGCTCGACTCGGTGATTGACATGTTGGCGATAACGATATCGATGTTAATGAAGAGACGTAGACAGATACTAATAGGTATGCAAAAAGATTGACTGGCGAGTACATCGCTATCTTATACTTCTTCAACATCTTCTGCTCTTCTACACCTTTTTCCATATAACCGACAGTCGCCTATCGGTTAGGCGGCCTCATCTACATTGCGTATAGTTGGAGGCCAAGGCATAGCGGGAGGCAAGGTGGAGAGAAGGGTCGGGTCAAATCGGGAACCAGTTTGAATCCAACGAAGGTCTTAGGTTTCAGTGTTCGAAGCCATGTCAGGAATCCTCACGCCGAAGAAGACGAAGGCGGATGTCGAACGAGGTGGCCGAGCTTGAGTACCTAGGTATCTTCATGGTCTTATGTGTGTACGTGTTCATCGATCTCATGTCGGCGAAAGTTTGACCCTTGTCTTTACGACAGCAGGGCCGCGAATTCGCATTCTGTGTTGCGGTACGCGTTCGTGTTGGCGGATGTCAGTCGCGTGGAGATCAGGGGGCACAGCGAGGGATAGCGCGAGATGTCTGACGCGCTAGGTTTCTATGGGATTAGCGTGCGGTTGACACTAGATAGCACCGATTACCTCCGCCGCCCGCATCCTCTCCCTCCGCTCTCATGCCCCAACGCGCAGGATTCATAGGTCGCGCCTTTGACTCAGACAGGATTAATAAAGACCTCGGGATGTTGCGGCCGCATCTGCCCTCTTACTCCCGACCGCCTCTCCCACCCTCCCACCCCATTCAAGGAAAAAACCGAACACCCAAGAGCCTACATCAAGATAAAAGCTTGCGAAGTTGGTAGCCTAACAGCGACGTAGGCTCCTGGGTTTTCCGGTTTTCCCTTGTATAAGGTGCTCCCATAAACCACCATGACACATGCTCGGGATGTGCAGACATGCACCCGCTGCCGTTCAGCCAAGCGTCAATGCGACAAACTCCGACCCGCGTGCTCGCGCTGCAACAAGGCGAAGGCCAATTGCATCTACGAAGCACAGGCTCCAGAAACGCCACCACTTGGGGCTATTGATCGCTCGGAGGAAGCTTTCAATAGCAGATCTGCATCTTCTTCACCTCATTCGCGCGTAAAGAGACGCGCTCGAGCTTGCTTTTCCTGCACGAGATGTCACCAGCTCAAGATCAAGTGCGACAGAAGATCTCCTTGTAGCAGATGCGCACGCTCCGGGTATGAGACAACATGTCTCTATACGCACAGAGTCAAGATAGCCGAGAAGACAGTTGTACCGTCTTCTGTCTTTGCGCTTGAGGACCCCGAGTTTGTCGTAGCTACCTGGTTTCTAAGAAGACGAAGCTCTAGCCATTTCAGAGCTCTCCTAGATAGGGTGAGCCGTTTCCATGCCTGTTTCGCTCAATTCCCTGACCTCTGATCATCCACAGCTAGAAACACTGCCCGGTCTTGAGGCGCCCCCGTTTACTATGGCTATGCGAGAACACATTGCGGGAAATTGCTCGAGTGACTTCGCTCTAGCCGGCAACTTCCCCTTCGGAAGTCCGCAGTCTCAAGCTTATGCTTCGCTTGATAAAAGACAAGATCTTTTGCAAAACTCCACTGCTTCTGCAGTGCTGTACGCCGATGCATACTTCAGAGTATATAACCCTTGTCTACCGGTCCTTGACCGGTTCACATTCATGTCAAAAATGGAGAGTTTTCACCATACGCAGACAACAGAGGATTCCAGCTGGCTCGCCCAATACTTCGTAGTACTCGGCCTTGGCGCCTATGCCACCACCCGCAATGACTCAGCTTCATCAGAATACTTTTACGCCAGCGAAGCTTGCTTAGCTCAGACGGCATACATGTATCGTCCAACAACCGTAAACATCAGTACGCTGTGTCTCATGGTGCTTGCAAAGTCGGTGGCTTATGCAACCTGCTGGGCTCTAGATACCAGCTGGAACGTAATGGGCCTCGTCGTTCGCTTGTCCATGATGATGGTATTACATAAGGAATGGATGGCTGGATTTGATGAGCCAGCAATTGCTCACGAGAGACAAGCTCGGCGGAAGTTATGGGTGGTAGTGGTGTACATGGACATACAACTGTCGTTGATCACCGGTCAGCAATCAGTACTCCCGCAGGACGATTTTCCAAACGAGACGAAACATTGCGCACCAGCGAACTTGGAAGACTGCTTCGACTCCATTCTGCCCCGTTCGCTTTCACTCATACGTCAAGTTCTTTCCCGGATCAACTCGGCGCACGACCAGATCACCTACGACGAAGCGGCGCAATATGACCTTGAGATACGCCAGCTGATGTGCCAAACGTCAGAATTGCCTGGTAACGAAAATCTACGATTAGCGCTCGATCTTTTCTTTCGTCGTGCGCTATCAGTCCTTCACGGACAGTACGCGATAGCCTATCATGCTCAGAGTCTATACCCGGTCTCATATTTGTCATTTCTTGAGTGCAGCCTTGCGACGATGGGGTACCACCAACTTTTCTTGTCGCTCCCGGGGCAAGGTACAGATCTGGCATTAGTTGCACAACCATACATGTTGGACTTCTTCGCAGCTGCACTGTCAACTTGTGTACAGCTCCTCGCCCCGGTTCCGCCCCCTGACTGCGCAAGGGTACTCAGCACTTTGCGGAGTTGTGTTGAGCTCATCGGAAAGGAAGAGAGCAGGTCGCTGTGCTTTCGCACTGGATACCACCTTCTCAGTGCCGTGTTCGACCTGACAGATAGGACATATTCTACCAGCCAATGAACAACCACCTCAGTAGCATAAGATGAAGCGTTAAAAAAACCCGTGGACAAGACATCAATCCACAAGTCTTGTGCTCATGAAATTTCACCTCATGTTCAAGTTGTCGAAATGATGTTGTGATATATATTACTTGATTCATACACTATCTACGTGACTACGAGTTCGAAAGTAGTTTCCTACAACCGTCTTCGATAGTGGCCAGTGCTGTTTCCACCGGTGATCTCGGTGTCCAACACGGCAACACTAAGTTCGGGCAGGTTGAAGCGGAACACACCATCGCTTCCGGCGGTGAGCATCATGTTGTTGGTCTTAACGATGTTGATGCCAGTGAAGGGGTCGTTGTACATGTATGGGTCGCCAACGGAGTTGGTAAGGTAAGTGAGGTTGGCCATAGTACCCGGAGCAACGCCCTGGAACTGGACGCTTACAGGCACGTCAGCGTGGTCGGTGGTGTTGTAGACAGCACCCTTCCAGACCAT